TTCGATTGCAATTTTTAATAAATAATAAAACTTTTTGAAACTTACCATTTTGTGTTCTCACATGAACAGAATATCTTTAAATTCATGCTTATAATACTACAGAGGAAAATTAACATTTCCAGTTTTGGGAAAACGTTCTTCTATTTCTATTCCATGTATACTATTGATCAGCAGTCTCATTTCTGTTTAAAATTTTTAATTTTTGCTTTTTCCGAACCAATTTTAAACTACATAAGTAAGCAATATTTCGCAAAAAAAATATTTTACGATAAAGAACTGTTACGATGGATAAGAGAGAAAAAATTAAAATTTTGGGATTCAGATTTAATTTAATACAATCTTTATCATTTTTTTTATTCTTAATTTAAGGAAGACTCAAGTAAAGATTCAGGTACCAAGAAGATCTATTTATTAGCTACCGGAAAATGATAGCTGAATTCAATAACTTAAGATCGTAAAGCGGACATTAAGGAGATGACGAACAAGATGCAAAATTCCAATAAACCCATAAAATTCAAAATTTAAACATTTAAAAAAAATTCAAAAATTTAATTTTTTCGACTTACTTTTAGCTGACAAGGTTCGAGCTGATGTCGCATCGCAACTGGATGTTGAACTTACTTCACTTCTCTTACGTTTTTCCGGTGTTTTATCAGCATTCGATGAGCTAGATGCTAATTTAGCGGCTAAAGTGAAAATTTTCTTGAAATACATTTTTTTAGCAGAATTCAAAGCAAAATTGTGGCAGACGCCAGATTATTATGTAGACTTTTTGGGATATTACTGCTTTGCAGCCAAGATCTGCTTATTGGCTACTGGAATGTGTTTAGCTGGATTTAATAACTTAAAATCGTATCGTGGAGTGCGGATACAGCATTAACAGCATTGATAACATAAAAGGATCAGTTAATGAAACCACGTCTTGTTCAAATATGCAAAAAGTAAAAATTTTTCAAAATATTTTAATTTCTACGGTTACCTTTGGCTGCAGAACGGGTAAGCATACGATGTGTTGAGGTAAACTCTTCACTAGCTGAAATGCTTCTTAATTAAGGATCTGTGCTTAATTATTGGAATCATGACAATAGATGCCTTGCTACTGATTAAAAATAGTGCAGAGTTGTAAGCATTGACAAACTTCCCAATAGCTAATGGGTTGAGAAAATAGTAACTTTCACGGTCAAAACATTTTGAATCTGTACATGACTCAACCATCGAAGAAAACATCCTGCATTCTGTAATTGAATAGTTTGATGACCTACGAAATTTTCAGCAAACTTACCGGTATCCGGAGAATGAAGTGAATCACTATGTTTGGTGAGAACAGCATGGTCGTTCCCAACAGTAACTGAAACGCTGTTTTTTAATTTTACAAAAAATTTGATAACTATGTTACTTTTCAAAACGTTTAAATCATCAGAAGAGTACGTATGGTCATAAACAAAAGCCCTATATTTAAAAAAGCCAAAATACAAGTAATTCTCTCATGCCAAAAAGATCTCAGATATAGACCCGTAGACTCAGTTATTCCTTCTTTTACAATACTGCTTTACCAATCATTAAGAGATTGGCAGAATAAAACGGAATGATATGGGTGATGAAAATCATTCAGTAATCTTGTTTCCCAGTTTATATGTGATAATCTTCATGATCTAATACTTTCATGATCCTATTTCCCGTCCTCACTCGATACACCATAGTCAACGACGTATCGAGTGAAAACAATTTGGAAATAATGTACCTTCGACTAGTTCAGATCTCCCACTGTCCATTGTTTCAGTTTGATGATCAACTACTGGTGGCGTATTGATTTTTGTTGGGACTGGCTCATGTTCATTCTCCTGTTCCATTGATACTTCCTTTATTTCCGTATTGTTGTTTCTATTCGTTCCAGCTATTACTTCATCGGTATTAATTTCCTCGATCTGCATGGAAGTAATGGTAAATATACCACTATCTTCCGGATTTCTCCTTGTTTGAAGCACTCCTCGTTGCTCATAACGGAAAGCACTTTGAAGTACATTGACAAGGGAATCACCTTGTTCTCCATAATCCATGACGTTTGGAACAACATATTCCTCACGAAACAAAGGTTCCAGAGTAGATAGTTGGATAGTAGATATTTCACCGACGTTCATCAGATTTTCCAGTTGTTCCTCCTGTTGCTGCTGCTGCGGTTGCTGCTCTTCCTGCTAGAAATACATTTTCACGACAACTTCATTGGCAAGATTTATGTTATTCTGAAGATAAAAACGAAGGAATAGAATTATCTCCTCAAAACGATGTCAATTTCTTGATTTTGTTCAGTACTGTAAAAAAAAATGAAATTTTTAACAGAAACCAAGAATAGTAATGAAACTGCAATACCCTGCAAAATGCTTCAGAAGCATCTATGTCAACCATCATTTCCGACATATTATCATTGAATTTCTCTTCTGCCATTTCACGATTTATGCTTGCTCAGGTATTATTCCGAAACACTAGAAATACGCAATTATTAAATAGTTATGCAAAAATTCTGCAAAAAAATTTCTGTACGTAAGTCTGTAAACTTTATGAGATCCATTTTTGATAATTGGTTTTATTCCTCCGCTAAAACCTGCCTCATGCAGCTTAATGTTTCAACTTTATAACATATTCTATTTAACATTATTTAGACTTAATCATCTTTACCTCACTCATTCAATCTCATTTAAAATTACGAAAACTAACTTTGTAGACTTTATAGATCCCCTAGTTAACTATAACAACTACTTAAAGCAGAACCAACGCTGTCATTTGTAACTTCTGCTAAGTTTGAAAGTTTCACGAAACTTTACTTAAAAATATCAATAAAAATCAGGCCATTATATGTGCAATAAAGAACTAAAATCTTATATGATTAGAAGACTGATAGCATGCCTATCTCCAGAAATTTCCAATTTCGTAGCTCTCTGTTTAACACATACATTAGCAATACATGGAATAAATTTATTTCTCATTTAAATCTCCCAATACGGTCGAACGGTCACAACCAGAGACAGAGAGAGAGAGAGAGAGAGAGAGAGAGATTTTACGGGACAGTTTAGATATACCTGAGATCTCTTCCGGAAGATAATGACATAATCGGAACTCAGACAATTGTACCTCTCCCTCAAACTCAAAATGCAATAATAGTCAGTGCTCCAACATGTAAAAACCTAAGTTTATGGTTCGCGCCAAAACATTTAACCATCACACATTTTACAAAAACTGCACGTAGCTATCAGTACGAGAAGCAGAAATTCACGTAGCTGTCAGTTTAAGAGGTAAAAATGCACGTAGCATCAGTACGAGAAGCAAAAATGCACGTAGCTGTCAGTTTGAGAGGCAAAAATGCATTAAGAGGCAAAATGCACGTAGCTATCGGTCTAAGAGACTAGAATGCACGTAGCTATCAGCTTAAAAAGTCTAAAACTTGTCAACACAAAATGTTTTCAAATCTTTGGTGAGTCGAGTAGTGTAGCAAATGCCAAACGTGATCGTACGTGTGCTACTCCAGAATAACGTGATCGTACGTGTGCTACTCCAGAATAAGACTTTCGTGATAAAAGTGTCTAACAATCCATTACTTATTCCGTGCATAACTTGCCCATTTACCGGTTTGATTGTTATCACTCATATAACCGGATCATTCCTTAGTCTTATCAGTGATTGAGTCTTATCAGTTTAGATTTGCTGAAATTTCGATTTAGCAAATAACTTTTGTAAATAAAGAACAGAAAGGAGTGTGTAAATTTAAACTGTTTGTGTAATTATCAAGTGCTATATATAAATACGAGGAATAAACTGAATAACGCACTTAATTAGTTGATGAATTCAAAACTTAGCTTCAGTCAAATTACTTTGATCTATTTGAATTTTAATTTAATTTTTGTTAAAATTTTAACAGGGTGATGGATCGTACGACTTGATAGAATTTTAGAAGTAAATGATCCAGATTAATATAATCACTAAAGGCTCTCTTTATCTGGTTGCACTCCTTTCAATTGATTACAAAATTGGCAGAATTAGTATAACCGGATACGTTTCTATCCCTCGGGTGTTTTTTTTCTCTCTTTTTCTGACATTTGTGGTTGTATTGCTCGAGAATGGTGATATAAATGAAATGATGGATAATTCCATGATGATCAACATTCATCTGCAGACCATTTTCTAGGAATTTTTGAACTGAACTTAAAGGGAACCACTGCTTTCGAATTCACACCTTTGTTTTTTTTTTTTGTTTTACTCTTTTTAAAGTGCACTGAACGCAAATCAGTGTCCTCAATGATTTTTATTAGTGACATATGAGCAATCCTGAACACTCAAGAATCTGTCACTTCAAATTTTTGAGAATCTTTATGACAGTCACGCCAGAATATACTTTATTTCTGGCGGATATGTGAAATAGAAAATATATGCAAGCTAGACTTTTGAAAATTCAAAATTATTTATTTCATGTCCACATTAACATCATGCCCACATCAGATATACTTTATTTGCCAAGACAATACGCGAAACCTGACAAACCGAAGTGAAATGTTAAAAAAAGCAGTAGAATAGTGTCTTGAAAATCTAAGATTTCACAATATTTCTAAGAAAACTAAAAAATCTGAAGATTCCAAAATAAGAAAAGCTCTAAAATATTTCTAAGACAAAAAAAAAAAAAAAATACTTGTGTACAGCGTATCATCAAAGAAAACTGAGGAACTTTTAATGATGATCTGAGAATGATACCTTCGTTGTATTAACATAAAATATAAGACTTTATCTTAACCCAATTCTCTTAACCTTCCAATCTAAGCAAGTAGAGTGCTGACTTACCGTAAGTGTGCCGACTTGTAGTGCTGATGAAACTTGTCAATTTAAGACAGATGAATACAGCGCACAGAAGGATCAATTAAAAAATCTAATACAAGATCAAATCAAACAAATAAATCATAAAAATATTGCGAAGATACTAGGTAAATCTAAGGCACCATTCTAAAATGATGAATAATTTATTTAATCTTCTCTTTCAAAACCTGTGCAACGGTCCTGAAATGATAGTTAGACTACATATACTACTGAACTTATCTTAGAAACATCTCCATATAAAAGTGGTGAACGGAGGAACAACTATCAATTAAGAACTGGACTAGACTAGTAAGCTAAAGTACTTTAAGACAAATAAATATTAGAGAATATAGAAAGGTGGATCAAAAAAAGAACAGATATTAGGCTTTGAGAGTAAAATTTATAAAGTGAAATAACTTACTTTCGTCCGACACGTATGTAACCTTTCTTTGGCACTTCTAAAAAACAATAAATGAAACATAAGCAAAGAAAAAGACGAAAATTTGATGTCAGATCGCAAATCTTACATACAGATTGGATTGAAATACTGGTAAGTTGGATTAAATCGCTGTTCGATAGGAGTAATCCGTAAGCATAACATCCTAATTCATTAATGAATTAAATCAATTCATTACTAATAATCTATCTGATTGGTATTTAAATTTATTGCTTCAACTGCGTAAATCAAATCGATAAGACATTATTAATGTATCAAACAAACCGTCAATTTTCGCTAAACTTGGTTCAAATCCTGATATAGTTTTTTGTTTTGGAGGTGATCCATTTTCACTTCTTGCTGAAAAGAATTTCAAATTTAATTGCCATTTCGACGAATAATTTCAGCAGTTGAAAATAATACCTGATCGAAACAATCAGAATATAAACAGTAGAATTCCTATTAAAATGAATCCCTAATTATACTGATATTTTTACCTTTTTTAGCAGAGCGAGTCAACATAGGATGAGATGGAGTCGAAGTTTTGTTTACTGAAAAAAAATAAAAAAAATTTTTGATTCAGCAAGTATCGTCAATGGTCTGTTAAAAATGACTCATGATCTATGGATGATGCTTTTAGAGAAATATCTAATCTATATAAAAGCAACGTACACTGGGACTCTTCTGATGCAGCTCGTCTCCGTCGATTTGGTGAAGCTTTTGGAGTCACATCTGGAATTGTCTCTTTAGCTGAAAGCCAACGAAACACGATTTTTAATATGAACAAATTAAAGATATAAGAAATGAAATCAGCAACTATTATGTGTTCAGCAATGTTGCTCGATTAAAAAGCTAATATTACCTCTAGTGTTTACCAATAATTTATTTATTTTATAACTAGGACCACAAAGCTATACTTAATAGTAACCTTCAATTTGTTCTGATTGTGTTCGACTACGGCGAAGCGATTTCCTTGTAGGAGAGTCTAAAAAATGAAAAGAAATGCATTCCAGAATCCATTTAATAATTGAACAGCTGAGACTGATATCTAATTATAGCCGGAATTGCATTGATATCATTGACCAGTCTTGTCTCATTTTATATTTCCTAAGTTACTGAAGCATCATAACATAGCAAAATGTTTTTAATTTTTTAAGTATACTGTCTTTAACATAAATGATAGTTCATTACTTCATAACTTACTTTTGGCTGATATAGGTCGAGCTGACCGTTGTGGTGTCACTTCACGGCTATGTGTTGAACTTGTTCTGCTTTCTGAACGTTTTCGGCGTATTTCTTCAGTCTTGGGTGGACTTTTAGATGAATATGTAGCTCGAGTTAAACGTTTCGGTGTTGTTTCTGGATTACACGGTGAATTTGTTCTACTTTTTAGGCGTTTTCGTCGTGTTTTCTCAGTTCTCGATGAACTTTTGGCCGAAGATGTAGCTCGAGTTAAACTTTTTGGTGTTGTTTCCCGACTATGCGTTAAACTTGCACCGCTTTCCAAACGTTTCCTTAATGTTGGCTGAACTTCCGGTGATAGCGATACCAGTTTAGCTGTTAAAATTAAGGAATTACCTTAAAAATTATGAACTCTGGCTTAAAATAATACACCAAATAGAAAAGTTTTCTGTTCATGAATTTTAAACACATCAGTAAATGAAACAGTTATAATACCTTTAGCTGCAGAACGAGTAAGCATTCGATGCGATGAAGTGGATATTTCACTATCTGAAATGACATACATTGTAATTCACAATTTTTCAAAAACATTAAAACTTCACAACTTTACATTATACTACCCCGAATAAAGCAATTTCAGACAATTATAAGCAATGACGAATAGTAAAGATTTAGCAAACATACCAGAATCCGACAAATGAAATGAATCGCTGAAAAAAGTCCGAACTGCTTGTCCAACAGCATCTAAAGAAAAATTCCATTAACTAAATATAGAGCCAGATTCAACTTTCAAGAATCTCTCTTCTAACACAATCTATTATTAAATTGCTTGTCCTGGGAAAGTTTCTTAAATTTTAGCTTACTTTTGCAAAATTAGAAATGGTATCTCTGGACAAATGTCTCAATTCCTTATTACTTTTCGAAAAAAAGAATTCGACGACACGGTCTAAAAAAGGAACAAAGATAACATACCCTCTTGCTTCGGTCCGGGTGTTCTAGGAGAAAGATTTACTGATTCAGAAAATTCAACTTTCACTTCTGAAAAAAGAAATAAAAAAACAATGAAGTAAACAGAATAACAATTTCCTACGCACCATTATGTATCCTAAATGTTTCAAATGACTAATTACAAACAATTATACAATGTGAATACTTTATTTTATCCAAAAATACTACAGTTCAATTTATTGAATCCTGAAAGTCACACTGGAAATTCTTCTGATGAAAAAAAAATGAAAATATCAATAACCACAGTCTTCGCTATTAATATAGAGAGCTGTATACAGCAGGAGACTTTTAGTCAACTTTTAGTCAATTACTTTTAGTCAAAGATAAAGCTTGCTTTAATACAATTTCCTGTACACCTGTAAGCATCCTTTCTTCTCTATAGAACACTAACTGGTGCATACATTAATGATAAAATAACCAAATAATGTTGATGTATATACTTCACAAAAATTTACATTCTATATGTCACTTTTACTTTGGTTATTTCTTGAAAACACTTTAGATTTAATTCAAAAATAATTACCAGTTAAGTATGAACATTTGAAATTTAAAGCTTACTGATATTTTAAAGTATAGTGATGCAAAATTTACCGCGGTTTTGAACTGTAGCATTAACGTTGAAAAAGCAAATATTCATTCTATATTGACACAAAGTTTGCGAAGTTTAAAATTCAAAACTTACCTTCCTGTTTCTCCAATTTTCCCCATGTACTCGCTAAATTCGTTTCAGGATCACAAACAATAGCTTTTTCGATTTCCGTGGATGTTGGATCATTTTCATCCTCTTGCTCATACGAAATCTTTTTTTGCAACGATTCATTTGACGCGACGTTATCAGTTTCATCCTCTTGCTCGTACGAAATCTTTTTCTGCAACGATTCATTTGACGCGACGTTATCAGTTTCATCCTCTTGCTCGTACGAAATCTTTTTCTGCAACGATTCATTTGACGCGACGTTATCAGTTTCATCCTCTTGCTCGTACGAAATCTTTTTCTGCAACGATTCATTTGACGCGACGTTATCAGTTTCATCCTCTTGCTCATACGAAATCTTTTTCTGCAACGATTCATTTGACGCGACGTTATCAGTTTCATCCTCTTGCTCGTACGAAATCTTTTTCTGCAACGATTCATTTGACGCGACGTTATCAGTTTCATCCTCTTGCTCGTACGAAATCTTTTTCTGCAACGATTCACGTGACCCGATGTTATCATTGTTACTTGATGCGATGTTACTTTCCCATTCGGCTGCTATTTTATCAATTAAAGAATCTGGTCGCTTTTCCGGTGGTTTTGATGACATTTTAATTCCGACGATAGTAGAATGTCTGGAGATTTTGGTAGTTAATACTGAAGTACTTTCAGGAAGGCTACCAACGCTATATATACTTTGTTTATCCTCTACACATACATCAGAACTGATATTATGAGCATTTTCATCCAAGGGATTGTCTGGATCTTCTTGTTCTTCATAACTCACAGATACTGGAGCTGTACAACTTTCCCGAATTAAGGAATTTTCATTGATCATAATGGATGGCTCAGTTTTATCGTGTAAACCGTTCATTTCTTCTTGTTCTTCAAAACAGTGCTTCATTATTCTCTCCTGATCTTCCACAACATCCGAATCACTCTGCTCCTCAATCGATATCTTATATGGACCTTCTTGGTTTGTAGTACTGATAGATTCAGTTTTTTCATCCTTTTTCATCAAAATTTCCAGTTCATCCTGTAGGTCCAAGTGTTCCTTTTTGTTCATGTCCGTAAATTCCAATCCATCCTTAAAAGAATGGAATTTCTAACAAACTGAACAGATTTTTCTTTTCTTTAAATCAGTTCTTTCACTTTATTAAACTTGTTACTACAAAAAAAAAAAAAAAACTCCAATACGAAAACATCGCATAATCTAGCAAAATGTAAAGCAAAACCCCGTCCTTCCTATTCAAGAACCACATCGATTTATATTATATTATCTTTATTTTATTTTTGCATCGCAAAAAAAAAAAAAAAAAAAAAACTAGCACTCTATTCAGCAAGAAAAAATAACGAAATACCGGATTTGGAGCATCTAATGCATAGGCATAATTCGTTTTGAGAGGACCAACTTTACATTCTTGTTCTTTCAGTTGACTGATACTTGAAATAATGCTGAAAAGACAGCTTAAATAGTTCATATAACCTCCAATGCTTCTTATCTTTTTTCATCCAATAAACTTCGCAATGTAATAAAAAATAAGGACCAAAAATAACATTATACCTATCACAATTAGACACGAACGAATTTGGAAGGTCGAAGCGAAGACTTTTAAACTGCGACTCTGTTACTGAAATTTGCATTAATTAAATTATTATTGAAAAGTACCACAGTCTTTCGGAAATTTCATGAATATCAAACACAGTACATTTTTAAATGTTAGCAGCAATAAGAAATAAGATTCAGTGTTAACAAGAGAATACCATCAGCTGATGTATTCTCATGCCGTCGCTCTTTCCGGGTTTTCAAAATAGAGGCTGGTAACGGCGCCCGAGAGAACAGATCAGCTGTCGGTGATGTAAATGAATCTTCTGCGTGTATTCCAGCTATGCGGCGACGTCGCGGCGTGGGTGTTTGTAACAAGCGATGAACATTTTCAAGATCCTCTTTAGGCAAAATTCTGAAATACCTCTTTTCCGAAAATAAGCACTTGCATTTGAAAGGTTAGGATAAATTCGAAACTGAAGTTAAATTTTTGGCATTTTTGAAAATTGTGAAATAACCTTTCGTAATTTGAAACACGTCGGTCGCATACGGGACTTGTCGGGAAGTTAGGTAGATTATGCATATCTCGTGGTATCTGCGTTGTTTCACATTGGCTAAAAAAATCATATTTATTGCCAAGCAACAAAGAATCGTAGCATTTATATAAAAAAAGTAGAAAATCCAAACAAGTGAAGGTTCGTGCAACATAATTATTATTAGGAATATGAAAAATCACAAATTCAGGAATAACCCATCGCATTTCTTTCATTTTTAGGTTCCGAAAAGTAAAATGGTCAATTTTTGAATACAATTCTCTCTTAAAATCTATAAATGAAGAAAACGAAATCCAAAAGAATTAGGAGATAATTTCGAACAGAAAACCAACCTCATAGCAGGTAATAGATATGGATGTACAGCTGGGCGTTGTTTGGATGAAGTATCCCTCATCATTTTTCCACTACAATCTTAAAAAATTTAGCTTTTTGTAAAAACTTTTTTTGTTCAACATTTAATCTCAAACTAAAAATATATTCTGCACCTGAATTTTGTAATATCGGAAGAACACGCGAAAAAATACCATCCGTCTGAATTACAGGGAAGTCTTCCAAAATCTTTGCTGTCCATCGATCACAACGATCTACTAAAATTCCGTTCTTTGGTTTTTTTGGCTGAAAATTCATTCCATTATTCAGCAGCAAATTACTTCATTTATTCATAGTTTTTCCTTCCATTAAGAGATCAAGTAATCAAAATTACAGTTCAACAAACTTATTCACTGCTCATTAAAGCATTCAGTTTCTGAAGTATAACATTTGCAACCAAAGAAGTATTAAAAAAAAGCATATCACAAGAACTTGCAGGTAAAAGACGATCGAACATTTTGCGCCTTAAACAAAAACGATTCCATTCACGAATCCCGTCAGGCTTTTTTAACAGGTTTTCTAAAGAAACTGGTTAGTGGGATGGGATGAACAGTCATCAAATGAATTAACTTATAAATTTATCCAAATACTTTAAATTTCCAAAAGCATAAAGAATGACAAATACTCTCAGTTAAATACTAACAATGTAGTAATATATTTACTGAAATAATATCTAAGACGTTACACTACCTTTTATCAATTCGATTTCTTTTCTGTTCAGAAGCAAACGTTTCATAAGTCGTTGAACTTCACAAACAGGTTCTTCTGCTTTTGTATCAGTAATCCCGCTTTTTCCACATTCGCTAACCGGTTCCTAAGCATTTAATCATTATTTTAGCCTTCTACTTGCAAGGGAAATGCTTTTTCTATAAAAATCAGCGGAAAAAATTATCACTACGACATAACGATTGAGAATAAGTGGTGTTGTATAACATTACGCTACGATTGAAACCATCGATAATTTGAAGGTAGGAAAACTGAATAGAAGGGTTGGGAGATTAAGTTTCTTTTGCAACAAATATTTTATAACCATTATTAACAAGTGTTATTCATAAAACATCTAAAAAAATTAAAAAATAAAGCCATACGGAGACAACAGTGTTCAAAATTCTTAATCTTTTGACGTCAAATTATTAGATTTTGAATCCTGGTAGTACATGAAATAAATTAAAAGCACTGTAAGTTATGTAAAATGGTATTAAACGTATCAGTGGAATTCTTTTACATACAGGGTGATGAAATAGCTTCCAGCAATGAAAATTGTAAAAAACTGTTATACCACAAATAATACCTCTAGTCTACAATCGTTTCTCCAGTTTGTTTCTATTTGATTACATATTGCTTGATTCCTATATGGAAAAAGCCATTTGAAACGATCAAAAACTTTCGGCTTCTAAAATTCCAGCGGATTTCAATCAAACTTATTTAATCTCGTGCGAACGAAAGCTATTTAACTAATGAAGCTAATGTAAATTATTTAATATGGTCGAACCAGATATGATCTGGTTAAACGCTTCTATAAAAATATTTTTCTTTGTGTTCCATTCAAAAATTTTCAATTAAATGAATAAAAATTCACAGTAATAATGAATTTAGTTACTTTAAAAACAATTTGAGTTTCATAAAGTTAAAACCTTTCCCATAAGATCATCATAATCAAGCAGAAAATATCCAATTAGCTTATATTTTGATGTTTCAGTTATTTTTATCGCAAGTGTAGCCGAAAGCAAGGCCTAAAATTGTTTGCAACTGAATTGAAAAAAAAAAAAAAAAAAGAAAATACGACTAATATGCCTTACTGAATGATCATTAATAATGTATGATTGTTAATTACTAGGTTTTACTTGTCAAGAGAAAGTTAACTGTTTGCTATTGAGAGATCAACTGCATTAAATATTGGAGATAACGATTAAAACTCAGAAATTTCAAGAACTCACACCAATTGAATTCGGTGGATACCACTCATCAGCAGTGAGACCACACCAGAAAATTTCGTTAGGACAAGCACTTTGCATTTCTTCTAGCAATTTTATTATATATAGTTTACTGCTGAAACAAAAGATGATAGTGATAAAGTATATGATAACAATAAAATGCACCAAGTTATATATATATACCCATCTTTTTAACTTTCCCCTTAACAAACTCACTGACTTATCAGTGAAGAGTCCCAATCACACGGTTTTTTGTTTTGTTGAACTATGAGGTTGCGTCTCTTAATTAACTGGAACCTAATAACACAACTGACATGTTTTGGAGACAGAAAAGAAGATAGAAATAGAGAGAAAAATGAACAGTTTGGATAATAAAATCACTGTTAATTTGATCATCAAAATTTAACTATTACACTCACCCGGGAGTCAAACGTTCCTTACGTTCATCCACTTTTGCTTTCATACGAGCATTAAGAGCAGTATAATTTTTTACTGGAAGTAATCCACCACGATGAAAAAGAAACACGATATTCGTATAGAAAACCAAATTTCTAGATGCCATCATACTATAATTTGAAGTAGTTGCATCTGCAATCTTCTCTGCAAACACATTTGACTTTAGCTAATAAAAAAACTTCTTACATGTTTCTCTGAAATAAACAATGAAATTAACTCTTGCAAACTTTCACTTGAAATACAATATAAGAGGAGTTGTTTAATATGCAAAACCAATTACTACAAAGAAATTAGGTCAACAAACCTGATGGTACTCTTTTCGAAATTTCAGCAAACAGTTCCGCAGCACAATGAAAAACTGCTGCACTGTTTCGCAACCAACACATATCTGCAGCTGATAACGCACGTGGAATACGATCAAACCATGGCTCAGCTGCAAACAGATACAATTACGAATATAAATATGCGGTACACAATAAACCGGAAATTTCTTTATGCATTTACACCTAAGTCATTTTCTTTTTACTCTCCCTGACAAACTGAATTTTTGTATGCTTGGTGTTGTCTACGCCATTTTATGATTACAAAGTATCCGCAAAACACAACACAACTTCTGATGTGCGAATAATACTTCCATTTCCTACACTTTGTTCTTACTCCTTTCCCAGAGTTTTTATTATGCTTTAATCCCGCATGAATAACGTGTCCTCGTTTTTAACCAAAACAAGCTACTCGTCAATTAATTTAAACAGAAAAACAAAATTCAGAACAACTGCACATTATACATAATGGAACAACAAAAATCTACAACCTAAATTTGTTTCTCCAAACTTAACATTCACGCACAGACATCTCATAAATTCCATTCTCTCTTACATTAATGCATAACAATTTTACGCAAGTTTGTATGTCTTGTAAAAAAAAAAACTAGTTAAATTTTGCAGCTTACAGCATTTACAAAAATTTTACAAAATTAAAATTTACGCTTTGATTAAAAAATAACAAACTAATGACGCTAAATGTTACAAAGTTCATCGAATTTCTGTTTTGCATTAACAACTTCTTTCCATATAAGCGAAGCGATCTGATGGATGGTATCATAGCTTGGGCATGAGGTAATATGTTTTTTGAGTGTATCATTGATTTCACTGTTGAACAGCAGTGATGAGATGATTATTGATTCCTGATTAAAATATGCAATTTGTACAACTTGCTAAAACATCTTGATAATAAATGAGTAATCAGATAAATTGCTAACTGGAAAGCACTATCGATACTTCCCTATAGTTTGCACCTTGCAAATGACAGATAGACTAAATTGAACAGTTAGATAATGTCAATAATTTTATCACTAAGTTTCTCACTACTTCTTTTCGGTTTTCATGAAGGAAGATGCATTATTTGAAAAACCAATACAAAAGTAAAGTACAGTTTTTTAAATTTTGTCTTTTGAACCAAATTTCAAAAAAATACATTTTCTAGCGGCGCCGTCGATATTTGACTGCTCTCGGAAATATCAGCAGGTGTTTTTGCAAGGCCAACTGCATTTAAATATGCGCATGCAAGATCAGACTTCTGTCCAATTGCATCATCGAAATTTTGATCCAGCCATTTTAATACCTGCAACAAATGGATTATGACAGTACATGTATGTTATAATCGAGTAAATAATTTGAGTTTTTCGGGACTTTTGGAAGAAGAAACAGGCATCGTGCTTGTCGAAGTTAAATATTTCTACAATATCTACACTTTCTTCTGTCTTAAGACGGAAATTTCTAGCAGATAAACGCTTGTAGATCAGTTTATTAATAAAACACTTTTAAACTCTGAAATCTCCAAAAATAAAAAAAAAAGGAAGGGAGAAAGCCAGGATTAACTAAATCTTTCAGTTAAACAACTAAAAAGCTGTATCTTCTGCTGAACCTGTACTTTCATCCACTAGCTAAAATTGTAAAACTGACACATTATGCTAGAACTAAAAAATGCAAAATATTTAAAACTAATAAAAATTTTTCTTCAAATTCACAATTGACCAATCATTCTAAAAATTTAAAGATACAAGAAAGGAACTCACAACTTTCTGTATGGATGGTATGAATATTGTAAATTCGCGGTTCCCGTTGAATGCAATGATTTCGAATGTATATGATGGTGCAAATATAAAAAAATCATTTGTTTCGCTATACGGACTTCGGTGTTGCCAAACACCGGAATAATTTACTAAGCAGTCCTTAAAAAATTTGATTAAAAGAACTGAATTTATTCTTGTCACTGAATTTTGTCATTGAAAGAATGATAATTCTTAGTTTTGAAATTCATAATTGCAGCCTATCGAACTACTTATTAAAGCAAACGACAGCTTAATACCTTAATAGTCTATGAAAAAACAGCAATAATACAGAAAAACTGACAAGGCAGGTATGTTGGTCATTGTTAACCGGTAATGTAAACAATGACAGGAAAGGGTTAAGGTTCAGGAATGATTCCGCAAAAATGACTTGTCGTGGCAAACGTTTGTAATAGAAGGCGTTCAAATCAAAAAGTGCACCCTAAAATTATATTTTATACAAATTCATAAAGCACACTGAAAGTTCAATATGACGCTAAATATTAAGTTACAACTATTTGATATTAGGTTCTCCACAAACATCATTGAAGTAGCAGAAACTTGTGAGCAGATCCCATTAATATACACTGTCTTACGTACCAAAAGAAGGAAAAGTTGAACAAGAAATAAAAAATGAATCTCACGCACGATTTCAATTTAAATTAACTACATCTGCTTAATCAATTAGTACCTCTATAGTATTTTTAGTAGTTCGCCAAGTCATCAGCAAGCGAGAAGTATCAGTCACATGTACACGTAGATATGATTCTTCGATATTCAATAATCTGTAACATTATACTTTTAAGAACTAGACAGCATCATTCACTATATCCATTTCAATCGTTTCTTATAAAACAAATAGCATACTGCTAATATAGCGAAAATAATCTGAAACATCTTCAAGTCATCCAAATAGAATATAGAATATATTTGGATATAAAATAAATTGAAAAAAGAAGAAATAGAACTCTGTCCCTGTCATTCAATCCAAAAAATTCTCCTCTTGGAAGTAACAACCATAAAAAATTACCGTTCTGAAATGCCATTCTTTGCGGCATGTTCTCTAGAAGAAGAAGAAATAACAGTTCGGAAAGAAACCCATTCAGTGCATTTTTCCGGACTCCACTGCAAAATTATTTCATAATTTCATTAAATTCAAGCAGTAACGAATTTTGATAACGAACTTCCGAAAATTTTTGTAATGAAACGCAATGCTAAATTTATAAAAAATATTAAATTGCGTTCGAAATTAAATTAAAGAATGGATAAAACTTCACCGTAAGGTAATTAATAATTATTAAATCATTCAAAGTCCATTCATTAGGAGGATGTCCTTCATCATTTGGAAAATTAATCACAAGCAATATCACGTGCGGATTTTTCTGTTTTCTGGAATTTATCGATAAATAACTTGAAATGTCAAATAGATTTAATAAATATAAAATCTCTGTAACAGCTTTTCTTTTTTTTTGAAAAATTAATAAGCTTCAAAAAAAAAAAAAAAAAATCAGTATGAACAAATCAAGCTAAAGGCTCAAAAATTGTATACTTATATCCACATCATAATAACTATCACTATACTGATACTACAATAAAAAGCGACATTACAAATAAATTTAATCAAAAACAAAGTGTATAAAATCATACCCTTTAGAATAAGCAACCCAAAGATATAATACAGGACGCGGATCATCCATTGGTTCTTGGCATGAAAAACCGTAAACTGGAGAAGACGAATAATAATAGGATGCACTGGAAAGAAAAATAAATCATTTAATAACATTTGCTGTTGCAGTAATGCATGAAATAACAATGATTACAATCATAGGTCAGCTGAAAAGAAACGATTCAATAGTTTGTTTCATAAAAGCAATCTTTTTTAAGGAACTGATGTATGCAATGCATGATCATATAGAAGATTCGACTAAAAATACACGAAATGTTTTAACCAATACAAGCAGATGTCTAATGAATACAAATCCCAGCATTTTAATAAATATCTGTACAGAGTTAGTATCATACACTTACTCATTGCCGTTAAGAAGATTGACGGTAATGAAGGCACCACAAGAAAAGCCAATGACAACTGTTTTGCACCGTTCTAAGTAAGTTATTGCTGTGACGTGTATTTCATCTGGAATATAAAAAAGATAAGTTGTAATCACAATTTAATAAATATATCCATCTGTATTAATCCAAACGAAAAAATGGATAAAAGAACAATAATTTATAAAACTAATATAATTCCATTGCCTACTGGTATCATTTTAAAATTTATTGAGTGAAATACGACTTGTTTTATCCATTCTACCTTAATCATTTTTATCAATTCGCTATAAAACTACAAAAAAAAAAAAAAAAAAAAATGCACCTACCAACATTAACAGGATATACTGTACCGTTATTAGCCACAAAATTAAATCGTCCATCAGAAATATAAGATTCTGTAAACAAAAAAAGGCACATTTTCTTCAGCCAGAAAATTCTGGTCCAAAGGATAAAAGAACAATATTCCAATAGATTTGTCGCAGTAAAAGTTCATAAAGTTAATATAATTTAATTGCTTATTAGTATCATTTTAAAATTCACTAAGTGAAACATATGACTTGTTTTATCCTCTCCACTTTAACTGTTTATCAATCCACTACGAAACTATAAAAAAGACATACACCTGAAAGAACTAATGAATCAGTGCTGCATAAAAACTTACTACACAAATTACTAGAAAAGGGTGGTTTTCTCAGTTCTGGATCAGTTATGTTTGGTACATCGATCCCAAAATGTACCAAAAAGCAGTCACCACCACTGGTGCCAACTGCTACAAGGTGTGGAAAACTCCTTAAATTTTCATGCAAACATTCAATTTCACTCTTCTTTGTCGCATCCAAAATTGTCACAACTTTAGTGATCTGAAAATAATTCTTTCAAATGAAGTATGAAAGTGAATTTCTTCCATATTTTAAAAACTCCCGACAGCTTCACTGTTTAGAATCATACCGCCACAAAGGCGAGTTTTCTAAAAAATATGACAAAGCTGGTTGCCTAAAAAGAAGCTTGTCATGTTTTAACTTATTTTGTCTGAATGTTTTTTTTTAATATGAAATTTGCAGACTACTGATAAGACAATACAAAATTTTGAAATGAATGAACGAAACCTTTGTGCGTATTAATATTTTCTTAACAATTCTACTCATCTTGACACTATAATACGCCAAGAAATATTCCTCATTTTGTTCATCGTTCACCGCCACTACCACACCCAAACTTCCGTCTAGAATGAAAAATTTGTGCACACACTATTTTGATTCCATTTCTCATTTTCGACTTCAATAAAAATTTCCGTGATATTCCTTCCATGAAAACCAAAACCTGCTATGTAGTCATACTGTAACGGTCTATATCAACAGAAAATGTAACTGATTATAATGAACTGCAGTAATTTACCTCGAAATGGCAGACTGCAAACATCGATAATAGTACAGCTACTGCGAAATCCACAAGAATATAATATCGGTGATTTGTAATAAATCTGGCGTATTAATATACAGTTTTTCCGGATAATACAATACCAATCCGTGTATTCACCTGAAAGTGTTTAACAAATCTTTTTCTCCAAAATTTAGTTTTGGGGAGTTCAATTTAAATTTGTCTTGCTTGCGAGAAATGCATTCAAGTTAATGTAAGTTTCAATCAAAAATGATCCAGTTATTCATGAAATTTCGGATGGAAATGATGACATAAGGAGCTTCGAGAACAAATTAACTAGCAGAAAAACATTTACTAACAAATTCAAACAACTTTTCATTTGTTTACCAAATTCAACCAACTAAATCAGTTATCACCTTGCTGCGTCAGAAATTTTCCCCATATTTCGGTTCTTCTTTTTTCGCTAATTAGTTTAACCTTCTTCAATGTACCCTGTTGTTTTAGCATCGCTTTCCTGTAAGCAAGTGAACAGAACTGAAACTTCATCAAATCCAGAAGAAAAAAGAAAACATTTTTTATATGACAGATTATTGCATAAAGAATTTTTTTTTGGCTGAAAAATAAGGATTAATTCAACGATTAATTGAGAAATGGAGAATAGATGTCAAAATTGATGCAACCATAAACCAAACATTACATCAAATTTTCTAAGTCATAAATTAATGAGCTAACAGTCAGAAATGAGTTAAATTTAAACTGCAGGCTTCAATCCTGATAGAGCCTTTTCGTTAATTCATTTTATACTTTCCGGAATCGGAAAATCTTCAAAACATATTTATCATCCACGGAACAAAACATATCTAAGTAACAGAGAATGAGTGTAATACGTAGAGAGCATCAAAAGTTTGCAGATAACAGAGAACAATAAATGATGCGAAAGGCATAAATGAAATAAACAATATGTAAATCAATTAAGAATAAAACAAATTTTTATGCTTCATTTAAAAAAGCGCAAAGAATTTATTTAAAAATGAAATCACTTCGCTACACGTAGAAAAAAGAGTGCACTTAAATAGGAGATTAGCTATACAGTAAAAGTTAAATGAAAAGAGTGTATGTATTAACTGGAAGAATTATACAACGAGTGAACGACAAGCAAATTTTATTGGTAAATTATTTTAACTTACCCTGAGGGTAAGTTAACTATATTGTTATGCATATAACATATTTGTAAAATTAAATATAAGTAAAAATATTGATAATTTAAAAAATTATCCGTGAAATTTTGCATTATTAGAGTTTGGTATAAAATACTAAACCAAATCTTTCTTTTTTAATTTTTAAAATTTGAAACGATTTTTCTGGTCGAATTTACCTTATTTGCGATTTATATTCAAACGTAGAAGCATAATGTAAATGCGAAAATTGAGACAAAAGATGATATTATTTAATTATGACAATTTTGTAGATTATTTACAAGTTTATAGGTTACGTATGTCTTACGTATGCGTGTATGAATACGTGAACGTCTCAAATATGCCTTATATACATTGCATAAAATTGTTGTATGATTATTGTTTCTTATTATATTACAATAAAATTATTTTGAAATGATACATTCTGAGCTATTCGTACTTTTTTTTTTGGAACAGCGATCGGTCGATCAAACGATTTTCAAGAATGGATCAAACTTCATTTTATCAAATTCACAATGATCTTAACGAAAGTATTACTCTCTTATTGTTCTTAAAATTATCACAAATATTATTTTATTAAATCTAAATCGAATTCAATTTTATTCTTATTCCATTTCACTTCTATCATATTTTATTCATTCTTTTTCCTTCTCATTATTTGCCCAATTACTTTGTAAAAAAGTAAATAATCAAAATGATTAATGTTTATGTAAATTACTCATACAATAAGATTTAATCTAATTTTAGTGTATATGGTGTTAATTAAACGTTCAATAGAATTTCAACAGTTTGCTCGTAGTACTGTTGAAAAATTACCAAAAATTTATCAAGAAATTGAAAATGATGTTAAATTTAAAATAAACGATACAATTGCTGCTGTACAAGATCAGGTCTTTTTAAAATTCATTAAGATTATAAATTATTTAAATTCATTTAAACAAATAGAGATAGTGTTTAAAAAAAAACTTAAGTTTATTAAACAAAACATAACCTTTTAATATTTTTGTACTGCAAAATAATACTATCAAAAAAAAAAAAAAAATCTGATTATTAATTAAGACAGCAATACCTGGAAATTTGAATTTTCATCGCTTTTTTATGACATTTTCATGGGGTACAATTATGCTTATCGGTTATTATTTCATGTATTTTCAAGGTTCTTATTAATTTACTTAATAATTTTGTTTCATAAAAAAATTTTTTTTTAATGGTAAATTCTCAAAATTGAATGGTAATTCAATTATAAGTATCATCATTTAAAATTATAATATAAATATTTACTTTAGAATATTTGATTGTGTTTTAGTAAGTGAATATAAATGGAATATTATTTAAATGTGTTCTTTTTAAAATCAATTTTGTCTTGTTTACTCATCAATTTATTTCTTTGTTCTTTTTGAAATAAATTTTGTCTTGTTTACTCATCAATTTATTTCTTTGTTCTTTTTAAAATCAATTTTGTCTTGTTTACTCATCAATTTATTTCTTTAAGTCTATTCAATAACTATTTATTGAGTACTTAATTTAAGGATCAACAATTTTGCCATTATTGCTAGAATTCATTTTTGATACATTATCAGCTATATTACTTGCTTATATCATTATACCAGCTGTGCTTTATTTTAATTTATCAAAATATGATGAATATAGCCGAAAGTCACGATTTATCCTACTTGTTGCTTCATTATTTCAAGTATTTTAAATTCTAAATGACTTTTCAATTAAGTAATTAATTAATTATTCATTGTTAGATTTGATTGCTATGCAAATAACTTGATTACTTAATAATTACTTAATCAGGTGAAACAAGAAATAAAGAAAATTTTAAATTTCTTCATTACTTACTCAAGACAAGTTATTTTCTCACTTAAATTTTCAGGGTTTATTAGTTGGCTTCCTGTTAAGCAATTGTTCAACAGTACTTGTTTTACCTGTTGAGGTTATTAATATGCTTTTTGTCTCAATAATTTCGCGAATTTTGGGTCACAAACTTAATAATGATCGACAAACATACTTTGGAATTGTTAACGGTACTGGATTCATTGTAAGTTTAAAATTAATTTTTCATATATTTTTCGATGTAACAGAAATATATGATTGAGATAAAAAAAAAAAATAATATTTCTGATTCATTCTTATCATATTATATTACATTATTACAACATTTTTATTCATTTAATATCAAGAAATACTCTAATATTGCAGTGAATTTAATTTTTGATAGTTTGAATGAAATTTAATTCTTAAAATTTCAGTTCCTCGTTATCATCGGATATATTACACGACAGTTAACTAAAGCTTATTTATTTTCAACTGCTTCAGCTGTTCTTACGTCACATCTTATCATTCAAATTTACATGCGTCGAGTTATGCAGGTAAAATGAAACCTAAATTGTTGACATATTTCAAAGTAAATAGTTAGGAGAGAGAGAGAGAGAGAGAGAGAAACAGTAGTGATAAAGTATTTTCATATCAGTATATCATTAGGTCACATTATTAACAATAATTTTATATTCAAATTATTGATAGATTTATATGCAAATTGCATTATTCATAATTTTACATATAGATAATAATTATTAAAATTTCAAAAGTTTAATTTTCAAACTGAAAATAGTAAAAAAAAAAAGGGAAGAAAAAAACTTAGTTAAAATCAGTTTACATTTAAATGAATAAAAGTAAATTTAAAAGTTTATCAATCTTTGTTTTGATAATTATAAGTTTCAAATTTTGCAGTTTGCAAGTTTGTGAGGAATTTTAATTACGTTGAATAGTAATTATCTTATCTAAAAAGGACAAGAGCATTTAATTAAATAGTTTAATTCTGATTTTCTAATTTGTATCATTTAATTGGCAATTTTCTATTTATAAACTCCATTTCTTCTATGTTCAAATTAAATTTATGACTTGCAAAATTTTACTTAAATTATTAAATTAACATTTACTCATAAATTTCATATATTTTGATGCGGAAATTCTTGCAGTTCGATCTGTTTCCTTCCTATATGTTATTGTTAATGATAACATTATCAATTTACTGTCAAACATTGGTTCGATTACTATTCGGTCAATATGTACAAATAGTTAGAAAGCATTGATAATAAAATGACCTTTTTCTTTTTGCAAAATAATTTTGAAAATATTTTGCTGAAAAAAAAAAAACGAATTTCTAATAAACTTTTAAAGAAAAAAAAAAAAAGAAAATTCTAATAAACTTTTAAACTCACAGAAAAAAAAAAACACTTCTTAAATGCATTATCTTTTTCTTTTTTGTTTAAAATTTCTTCGCAAATTTTGTGATTCTTACATTTATTATATTTCCTAATTTTTTTTTTTTTTCATTTCTGTGTTATTACTTAACTTTTGATTTTTTAATTTTAAGGAATTTTTTAACAACTTCAAAATTTAGATCTTTCTATTTTGTTTGTCAGATTTAATGTAGATAAAATATAGATAAAATTTCTTGGAATTTCTTGATCTCTAAAAAAAAAAAAAACATTTGTGTTATTAGTTAATCAAAATTTTCTTAACTTTTTACAATGTTTTTCTTTTCTTTTTTTTTTTTTTTTGACAAGTATTATTTGAAGAAATAATTCTTGAAATATTTAACACTTTTTCAATAAGAATATGGTGAAAAGCAAAAAATTTTTTAATAAATATTATTAACAGATTTTGAAAAATTATTTTTGATTATTTTCTCAAAAAAAAAAAAAAAAATATATGAGAAACATTTTTGAAAAAGATAATTTGAGATTCAGCTAGAAAAATATATTTTATGTCATTGTCATTGCTGATTTAATGACTTCTCCAATACAATCACATTATTGCAAAATATATTTTCTTTCTTTCTCCTTTCTAATGATCACAATAATAGATAAATAATAATAACAATAATAATAATAATAATAATAATAATAATAATAATAATAATAATAATAATAATAACAACAATAATAATAACAATAATAAATAATAAATAAATAATAACAATAATATTCAATTCCGAAAAAAAAACTTTCTACAATTCATTTTTAAATTATCTTTTACTTTTCCCTTCTTCAACGTATTTTTCCTTCATTAAACAATTTAAAAATTCAAAGAAGTCAAATTTTCTTTCCTTTCCTATATTTTAAAAGCTTTTTGAAAAAAAAAAAAAAAGAACTTCGAAAAAAAAAAGTTAAAAATATTCCAAAATTATATATTTAAGAAAACGGAATGGAATGAATCGAAAACATTTAAAATGTTACATTTAAAATGCTAAAAACTTTTTTTTTAAAAAAAAAAATTACAAATTATGTTTGAATGTATGTT